CCCTCTTGATCACGGGCAATGAATTTAACGATCGGTAACAATTGGTATTCTTTGTTATTTTTAACGACTATTAAATACTTTTCTTTGATTTATATTGAAATAAGACATCATTTAAAATTTTGCAAAAGATAAAAGATGTAATTAAATTTAAATTAAAAATATACAGATAAATAAACCTTTAAAAAAGACTAACAAAGCACTTATTTATTACACGTGCATAATACATTCACTAATATTGGTTTTAAAAGAAAAGATGACAATTGGTCGCAAAATATAAAATTAATAAAACACCTAAAATGTGTTATTAAATTAATAAGTGTAATAAACAGAAACAAAACAACATCAAAACAAAATTTAGAATTATATAAATTGTTAGTTGAATTTGGTTTGGTATAAACCCGCCTCTCTGTCGGATGTCCTCCGGGACGCTTGTCGAACAAAGTTTTTGTTTTATCAAACTGCTAATACCCATTTTTTGTTTTATTGCTCAAAAGCTCGAAGGATTTATGGCCTGACCACTTTGCATTAATTTCCCATTCATTATAGATCTCTTGTAAATTTAGTAGTATTTTTTTTATCATTTCATGGTGTGAAATACTCACAAATTATGTACATTACGTATTCAAGAGAGGTCTGCAGAATATTGCCACTTGGAATAGTACTTACGAATGCAATAGATTCATAGTACAACATAAATTTTAAGATGACAAGCTGAGGGCGTAGTACGAAAATTTGCAAAAGAGGATTCGTAACGTTATTGACCAGATTCGTATATCGGTATCAGGCGTACCATGACAAATCTCATACAGATTACGACATTATGTAGATGACGTTACGAGAACGCATATCTGTAGTCGGATAATTATTAAATATGTTTGTATTATTAAAATAAATGTTAAATCTAAGCCATCAATTTATTTTTATGATGCTCATCATTTTATGGTCAGTAAAACTACGACCACATCACATGCACCAACCATGTTATGTTTATTTGAACCAATTAAGGAAACGGCTTGTTATTTCCCAATTATTAAACTGTAATAAAACTTTCAATCAAAATAAAATGATTTGTTTTTCATTACGTTACATTACTTCATATAAAATTAATCCAAATATTTTTCAACACATTAAGATCGTCGTAACATTGATAAGATGAAAATGAAGCAGTAAAATAGTAATAGTGTAGAACAGAGGCATGGATCACTGTTATCTCGTGACTTTGGTGAGGCGCACATCGCGCGGCCATTAATGAAGATTAATTGTTGACGACGAAACACATGTAGCTCTGCTAATGTAGTCCGCACCTCTAATTGTGTGGAACTATACGATATTATTAATACTCATAAGGAGTCATATATTATAATATAAATCATGCTCTATGTTATATAGAGTGTTTTAAAAATATATTTGTATATTATATTATCGTCTCGAATATTCTTTTAGTGCTTTGGTACTTCATAATTTTATTATGAAATTTTATATCTTCATCGTCAACGTCAGTGCACTATATGTCTCCACTAAGGGGCTCGAAGCCTACCCTAAGTTAGGGGTATATGTTATTACTCTTTATCTAAGATGACTGAGATAACGGCCTATATAAATAATTATTCACGTTAATTAAAAAACTAAAAAATGACTATGCCAATGTTTGTTCGTTTAAAATATCAAATACCTTAGAGTTTAGTGACTATTTCTTTTATAAGATAAAGATTTATCAAGACGATATAAAGCTGTACATTTGGCGTTAGGCAATCGGTTGTTTCGTCTTATCTCAAGGAAGTGTCGTGTAGTTCCCATTGTATACCCTAATAGTCGTAATCGACTGCCGAGGACGCGGCTAACGACTCTTTGATTAGAACTGAGCATTAACACATTTAGCTGTTGGCACGAATTCTGCTCACAACTTGATCATTGCAATTGTTACTCATGTTACAAATAATTTAGAAATGAGTACGGATTAAAAGTTGTCTAAATTTGGATAAGTCATAGATTTTAAAATATATAATATATGTAAATGTATAAATTATAATATAATATAATATTGATGTATGCACAACACATAGAAGTTATATTTGTATGGATGTGTAAATTTTCTCAAGATGAAAATTTAGATTTTTTTACGCATTTTTCAGTTTTCATTGCCATTCGATGTTACATGGTTCAAGTCTTACAAAATTGCAATGTAACATTTCTAAAATGTATAAAACGTACTGGCCGTCAATAATACAATTCAAATAGAGATGAGTAACAAACCTCTATAAACGTACTCTTATCCCAGCCGGTGCAATAATATCTAATCCACTTAAGGACCCTTACAGGCGAAAACCCATTTCATTACATCCCTTACAATGGTGCATTAAAACCGACGACTGGGCTTTGGGGAGCTTTAAAACATAGTTGCAAATCTGAAACTAAAATCACTTAACAACTCCCAGTAAACGTACTTAGAAATCATTTATCTGAAAGCTGTTCCCTTCCGCTATCAAAACGGTATCAAGAAGGGCGAGGAACATAAACTCGACCGCCCTTGCAGTTAGATAAAATAAAAAGGGGCGTCAGATTCACTTGTGTCGCACCACACGTAGGGCGGCCCTTCTGCCTGTCCTCCGTAACGACGTCTTTATATTGAGCTATCTTCCCATTTGAATACGTCTCATATCTCAAAATGAAGGGTACTTAGTGTAACGCTACGAAGAATATTGAATATGTTTTACCGCTTTACTTCCTAACGTTATTTCAGCTGTTACGAGACTTTTTTTAAAAAGTTAATTTATGTTTAAAAGTCAAAGGTTCTTTATAACCGATTTGCTATCCCATTTTATTTATGATGATGGTTACTAAGAATTTTTTATCGAATTTTTTTTGTCTCTTTCCAATACTATTTAACGAATGTGAAAAATATTTGTTATTGTGATAAAATACCAAGAGAACACCTCTGATGACACAGTTTCTAGATATTTATTTTTGTCTTTATTATGATTTCATAGCAAAGCTATGTTTTCTATCAGATTTCACTGAAATCAAAAGAAACTTCTAAGCAGTATATGTAATTCAAATCTAAGTGTACACTAAAATATGTATAAAATATAGAGTAACTCAATAATCGAAAAAAGTCGGGAGTAACTAAAATCTACGTTTGTAATATAAAAAGGTTAGACGCTTACCTATGCAAAAGAAATTAAGTAGGTAAAAAGAGATTTACGTGAGCGGAATTGTAAGGGAAAATTATATTCGATGCTGGTGAATATTTCAACGGTGACATGTTTACGTGACATAATTCGGACCGGTCCGTCGCCGCGGCCCTGCTGCTGAGGTGTTGCGGTATTTATTACAAGGGATTTGTTCGGCCCTATTTATGTGAGATTTGCACAGATACGAATAAATTTATAGCCACAATCTAATTAGCACGTAAGGTCGGTGTTAAATTCTATTTGTAATTTCAAATAAATTATTATATTTAAATAGCTGATAAATTTACAATAATTTTGTAAACTCGGTATCACTTTAGTTTTTTATTTTTCCTAAGGATTATCATGAAAACATTATAATTTTGAAAATGTAACTTTGGAACTGTATTCTGAATTAATAAAGCCAAAGTAAGCTTTTAACAATTGGTATGTTCTCTTTCACAACAAAAAAAGATACAATTGTAATAGAGATTTCCTTTTCCTTGTTTGAAAAGGATAATATTTCTATTTCTTTTGAAGTTGCTATTAGTAGCAGCAGTGGCAAGCATGGGTTTTAAAACAGTCGTTTAAGCAAGTCTTGGCTTGAAGATATTGTCGATGGGTGCGAGGTGTAGGTTCATTTCGGCAGAGGCGGAGGCGGGGCGAGTCAGCATCTGGTCCGGTAATTAAGAGCATCTGCCTACGTTCAATTTTGAAGCGCGGTGGATGAGAGTTGGCCCGCACGCCGTCGGGTCCATTTGGGAGGGAAGAGCAAATTGCTAAACTTTCAATTAAAGAGTTGTTATTCAAACCGCTCCCGGTTTTCTCGGAGGAATTATGTTTTATTTCGCAACGAACTCTGATAGATCCTTGTTTCGCATTTTGCTCGGATAATGTTTTAGATCTTTAAAGGGATGTTTTGAGAGTTGAAAATTAACGCTTATTATATTCAGACCTTGAAAATTTCTCAGATGAATTTTAATAAGAAAACAAATTTAACATTACCTCTGAACGCTATTATACCTTCCAATTATACTTTAACTTTGAGCCGCAATTGGGTTTAAGTGAACTAAAAATACATACACCACACACATTGATCGAAATTTTGTAAATGTATTTGACATCTGCTGAAACCATTATAGAGATTTCAATGTATAGTTTAGTACAATAAAGAAAAAACATCCTTTAGCATAGATACATAAGAATTCCTTACATTAACGTTGTAAATGTTAAATTTATAATGTTCCGAATTATCACAGACTCGACTCATCTACATTCATCAGTAAATAAATTATACTTGAGAGTGAATGTTACTTCGTGATACGGTAAATTAAGATCATAACGTATGGCTCACTGCATACGATAGCAGCTGCCCTACTTGTGAACTCGGGGCTTGTTTAAAAGCCACTGAAAAATATTCTGCTATATTATCTTCATACGAGCTTGCAAACGTTATCACTTGTTTTATTTTATACATACTTTTTATACTCTCGTAGTGTTTTTTTTTGCTTTCACTAAGTAGATGTGTTTAGTTTAACAATAATGTTAGTTATAGATTGTGTAATTTTTAATTCTCTAATATTTTATAATAGTACTTGTAATTCTTCACAATAAATATAGGAATTCTAGTTAAATAAAAGGTGAATATAAGAGTGATTAGTAAACCTAAATTTATTTTCATTTCTTAGAGTCTACAAAATATTTCTTGCATTCCATGTGGTAGAGATAAAAGGTACTTTACCCGAAATATAAGTTATAATGTTCAAATATCAAATATACTGCAAAATCATTGAATATTAAACTATAGATATTAAAGCAGTTATCCTATTGCAGCGGTGGCAGCTACAAATATTGCGTCTCGATGTGCGGCCGAGGGTGGCGCCGCACGGGGCAGCATGCTGGCGCATCTTCTACTACTTAGCACCGCCCTCGCGGCTGTCACCAGCGGCAAGCACGGTAAGCTATTGTCAAACCATCTACCGCTGCATTTCAATACTCCGAGTTTTTTCGTATAATTTACGTTTAATGATATAATAATATACATATGTAATGTTAACTGTAATGTCCTACCTCTTCAATGGATTTACTGATTACCGACACTACAACACGTAATAATTGTACTCCTCAATCACTTCTATTGCCCACAAGTATCCAACTGTCTATGACGCAAGTGACTACATAGTAGACTAGACTACCTTCTTTGAGGTAACAATACTCTACAGTACCCCATCTAGATTTTCTCTTCTCTAGCCTTTCGAAATGCAACGTAGATGAAAAAATCGTATAACATCAGAGCCAGTCTGACCATAATATCTTATTAGTCCTTTTGTAAATGATTACGATGTTATACTTTTGTTTCAGTCGCAAAAAACAGCGATGAAAAACTTTTACATTACTTCATTTAAAAAAATGCCTTCTGCCCGAAAGTCGTTGTTTGCTACTAACAATATTAGAGTCTCGGTAAGTTAAAAAAATTCGCGTAAAATTTACATAAACCTCACCCAAGCTACGTTACTTTTTCACCTGTTTTTCACTTTACATCTCTCAAACGTTCATACACTCGACTCAGGACTGCGTAGCGTACTAACAAAAATCCGTTGATTATAAAAGGAGCATAAAAATAACAATAATAAATATTATTCGTCTTTATCTACAAATGCTATTTTTATAAATGTACGAAATAGTTTTAAGAATCACGGTAAAATAGACCTTCGTAGAACTCAAAAAATACGTTATATAAGACCACGAACACATATTTACATACATAAACTGGTTACAATATGAATGTATTATATTTTGAAGTTTGTATTGCATTAGACCCGTGAATAAATGTAATGTAACAGTACTATTGAATGACTTATAAGTAAATTTAATCACAAATTATCATTTAGAATAGGTACATTTTTTATTTTAATACAGTTAAGAAATTGTTATTGAAAAGAAACATATCGTTAAAATAGGATTTTTCGCGTAAGAAACTTGCTTGCATTACTCTTCTGTTTAAACTTAAATATTAAAATATCAGCAACGAAGTGGAAAAAATACACATACATTTACTTATTTGAGAAAAAAATGTAACCAACGTTGCCTTTGTGAACTGAGAACTGGATCCCCAGAGGTTTATGTCTTTTCGGATCAGGCGGCTTACCGTAGGACGCGCGCGAAAAACTCCTTTCCCTCATAAATATTTACTTTATGAAATAACGCGCCCCAAGCTCGGCTTAGTCTTACATACCGGCTGGCGGCAGGTGATAACTGCCAAATGACAAAAACACTTATTTACACTTATATTTCTATTAAGAAAAACCTACTTCGAAAATGTCTTCGGTCTTCAGACATCTTATAAAGTTGTAAGTTTAAGTACATTCTTTGAAACTCTACACTTTCATAAATCTACTACGGACATTAATCCGATTTCATTAGGTTTTCAAATTAATCAATTTAATTATAATAATGTATTTAGTTGGATATTGTAAAATGTAACCTAATAATTATTATGTGAACGACTATTGTAATGACGGAAGATAGATCAATCTGGAGGATGAAAGAAACAAACAATAAGTGGAATAAGGATAGGTAGATTATGATGACGATTATGACAAAAATGTGGGTTACAAGAAGAAAAGTATTACTTAATACTATGTTAAATTAAACTTATCTTTTACATTCTCGTCAATTTAGTAATTTAAAAATAAAAACAATTGAAAATTAATGCAGTATACGACTGTTTGAGTGACGTGCGTAGCGCTGAGTGCTACGCCGTAGCAGTACTAATGTCATTACGTATCCACGTATGAGAGCGTAAAGTGTTGTTTGCGAAAATAGCAATATTAAAACGTAATACACTATTTTATTACATGACAACGGATCATTAGTTCAATGCCACATATAGGGAAATATTTACAAAACACTGCTGAAAATAATATTTGCACAAAAACACAGATAGTTAAAATACGTACAGCGTAATATGAGAACGTGGATTCGAATCATATTGTCATTAACATTTAGCCTAAGTTAAACTAGGCTTAGGCTAAATAATTTCATATTATCAATATATATTCTACGAAAGCGGTTAAAATTTGTATCATGATGTAATAAAAAATGGATTAGGATGGTATTTGAAAGGCCGACCGGACGGCAACTTGCGGCCGTAAGATAAATCGTGCTCAATGCTCGATTCAGCTAACGCAGGGAGACGGCGGCGATTAATGGACGAAATTCATTAAGAAATCTTTGTTAAATTACACTTAAATAAAGCAAGAATAAAATACTATTAGACTGTTAGATAGTTAAAATACTTACAATTTAAAAATTAACTTAAGCTAACTTGTATTAAAGAGTTTCAATTCTATGTTATTACCTATTGAACTAAATAAATTTCATAACTAATGGGCTATTTTAGTATACGGTAATTGATATAAAAAATCCAAGTACAATATACTAAAATTACACAATACAATATCACAGCTTTGCAGTTCTTAGTAAAGACCTAAATTCAATAAATATTTTCGGACTGTCTTGTTAAAATTTGGCTTTTTTTTAGTTCATCCTATCATCGTAGTTGAAAAGACTACAACAAAAGGCGAATGCTTAGAAATCGCGAATCGAGTAGCAATAAAAAGAAAGGGATTCATCCCTTTATCACGGTAACGAGACGTTTTTCAAACCCCCTTTCATTATTGGAAGGATTTTCATTGGAAGCCAACATGTTTCAATTTTATTTTTCTGGTAAAACATCTTTGTTAGTAATAATGTTTAGTAATTATATTTTTCTGCTTCATTTAAAACTAGCTGCCAATCGCGACTCCGTTCGCGCTAAATTAAAAAAAAATAAGTAGCCTATGTGTTTTTCCAGACTATGTTCGACATCTTTTACAAATTTCATCAAGATACTCAGTTCTGGAGATACCTTTTAACAAACATTCGTCTAAACATTCACATTTATAATATTAGTAAGATAAATATCGTATACAGGATCGTAACAATGTTTTAGTATTATCAGCTTAGCACTTACAACGACATTGTGATGGCAAAAATCCCGCTTGGAAGCAGATCACGACTGCTGCGGAAAATATACGATCTCTTGTAATGAACTTGTGGAATTTAGAGTCGTTAAATTAAACATAATAACAGTGTAAATAGCTTGGCTCGAAGTTTTAAAACCTGTTATTTTTTGATACAAGAATTATACAGCTAATGCAATAAAAATAATGAAAACTTTAAATTTTATTCTCTAATATCTGTCTTTTTCGTTAAACCTTTGGTAAGTAATATGTCAGTATTCCTCAGGTATATATGTTTTTTATGTATGTAGTTGTAACCTCGTATACCATAACGGAATTCAAATTTAGTTGAGTCAAGATAGTCAGGATTATTGATTTTTTATTAAGAACGTGCGTTACACCATTATTTATTCAAATCAGCAGAAAAATGGGAGAGAAATAATAATATGTAAAATATTATTTTCCAGAACGTCACCGAAACATTATGTTTATCGGTAGGCGATGTCCACGCGTGAAAAGTTACATTCAATTAGTGTAAATCGATGACAGGCCGGCTCCGTCCGTCCGAGTGAATTTAACGACCGCCGTCAGAAATTCAAATTCAAGTTAATGTTTGGTTTATTTAACTTGCGCTTTTCGATAAACAACACTAACCGTTATTGCCTTTGTGTTTGTATTGATCTATTCAAGCATTGAAGGCCTTTTAATTGTGAAATGTCGGAGCAACTCAAACAGTAACGCTATTAAGTCAATTGTGCTTTAACAACGTTTCAACTGAAAATCATTTATAAATAGCGGTCGCCCACGACTTCGATAGAGCAGAAATAATTAAAGTAGATTATATATTCTCGCTTGCATCAGCTACCTTCCTGGCTAAGTCTCGTCAAATTCGTCCCCACCGAGTGTCTCGGAGCCTACCCTAGGTTAGGGGTGATTAGGCCATAGTCAACCACGCTGGCCAAATGCAGGTTGGTTGACTTCACACATATCTTTGAATTTATTCTCAGATATGTGCAGGTTGCATCACGATGTTTTCCATCACCGTATGAACATCGGATAAATGTACATATGTAAATCGGAAATCGAAAAACACATTGGTACATGGCGGGATTTGAACCCAGGACCTGCAGATTGCAAGTCAAGTGCTTGACCCCTGATATGAATTACCCGGAACAATGAATTATGAAGATTACCCGGAACAAATTCAGCTTTACAGACAGACATATAGACATATAGACATAAAGATAGACAAAAATTTTAAAATTAGATTTTCATTATATGCTACTACTAAGTTCCTTGTCTTACTTCCATACCCAGGATCGTTTTACTTAAGACCTTTGGAAATAAATGAAAAAGGTGTATAAAATAGAATTTCATTCGGCAATCCCTTAAACCAGCAGAAAACGTTAGCTCAGAATAGACTCGTATCACAAATATAACGAAAAAAACTAAGAAATTTTATTCGGACGGAAACTGAATACATGTATATTGAATCAAGAAAATCCCTGAATAATTGTTGCATTCGTCCATCGTGCCGAGACGGTGCTTTATATAGAAAATATCTTAAAGTTATTTCCAATATCTTTTTTATCTATTCTTTATGTTGTATGACTCTAACATAATTCGGAACTGCGGCTTGTACTAGGTTACTTTGTGTACACTCGACATCAAAAATAAGTTGTACACATTTTAAATATCAATCTCTATTCTAGTACGGAGTACCGACAGCTGCATAAATTTACATTTACAATGCTTCAAAAACTAACATAAGGCGTATAAAATATATGTGTATACATGCCTCCGTTCGTATTATATACATTACCTTATTACCTATATTAAATGTTTTACCTATACAATTTTGTCAAGTTTTGTAAAAATATTTATGCAGCTGACTGTACAGTCGCAAAGTGGCTACTTACACTTTTAAAACCCTGAACGATTTAATATAGAAAA